GGGTTTTCCCGTGGACTCTTGTGTCTTATCTTCCAGAACTTCTGTGCTGGTCTTGGTGCATCTTGTGCTGCTCTAACAGAGCACCTGAGAGTGGGTGGTGTGTAAAGAAGAGAGATCTCCTGCTCACTGTTCTGGAGCTGGGGAAGTGCAAGATCTAGGGGCTCCATGTGAAGAGGGCTGCTTGCTGCATCTTAACAGCAGGGGGCGTCCCATGGGGAGAGAACATGTGAGAGAGGATGTGGGGACAGGTGCATGGAGTACTGCATACATGGCATACGTTCAGGGCATCTGAGTAGTAACCCACTCCCCCGTGCTAGGCATGTGAGCAGCAAACCGCTTACCCCGTAGGCACAGCCCTGGGCATGAGGCTGCATGTTTCAGTCCCTGCGCTTGCTCCACAGCCCACTCCTCGATGGGTCACTGCAGGGACAGTTGGCCAGAAATTGCATTGGTGGCTGCCTGTAATCTGCTTAGCTCCTGCCTGAGTATATATCCATGGTAACTGAGCAATAAAGTCAGACCTGCTTCTGGCTTGGCCTCTGGAGGTCTTGATTAGGACTCCACAGCCAAGCTCTCCTCTACCCTGTTCTGTGCACCTTCTTTTAGACAAGAGAGAGCCCACACAAGAGAAGAAGCAGAAGGGGCATACTCACCCTTTATCAGAAAGCCACCTAGCAGGACCTGGTCCCCTTCTGTGATAGCAGCCTTTTTCCTTTCACAGGGACCTACCTCCTTCCCCGAGGCCTCAGATCCCTGAGAGTTCAATTATTACTATATGTTTTGGGGTCACATTCACACCACAGCAGTGACTCTATAAAAGTTTGGTTTGTGATTTCTGGAACCTCTGCCATGTATGTTGGGGAAGGAGGGAGTATCAGCCTGTCCACCTTGGACCCAGGCGGGATTTGCATGGAGTAGAGCAGTTCAGTGATCACTAGGGAGTGGGGATGGCTGGATTCACATGTAAAGGATTTCTCAGTTAACGCAGAATTGACACTCTGGTCCTGGACGGCTGTGAGGGGGAGGCCTGGGCACTCTGTTGAGGGAGGGTATTTAGTTGTAAAGTAAAAGTTGA